TAAGAAAAAAGCAATAAATATATTAACATTTATAACAAAGCTGGAAGAGGAGAATATAAAAAAAATTCAGGATGTGAAATAACTTCAAACCCAGTCAAATATTTAGGAATAAATGTCATGAGACATAATGACACCCTATTTCAAAGCAATTATCAAATAACTTGTACGAAGATCCAAAAAGATTTACAAAAATGGACTCAATTAAAAGCGTCTTGCTTGGGAAGAATTTCAATTATGAAAATAAATGTACTACCTAAACTGAACTTTCTCTTTCAAATGATACCAATTGCAATATCAGGAAAAGTTCTCCAAGAATGACAGGGACAAGTAGATATTTTTATTTGGAATGGCAAGATATTAAGGATCAGATTTAAAATCCTTCAGAATGTAAAGAAGAGAACAGGCCTTGTAGTACCTGATTTGAACTTATACAGTTATGCTATGCACCTGGTTTATATTGCAGATTGGATAATAAATGCCAATAATAGGCGAGTGAAGTTGCAGTCTCAAAGATGAAATAAATAATCTCCTGTGGATTAAAGTATCTGTTAAGAAGGCCTTGATATCAAACAACAATCATGTGTTAAGAGACGGCCTAAGAAAAACTTGGTATTTCAGGAGGGAAAAAACCAGTCCTCCAATCTCCCCTCTGATGTCCCTGGTTGAAGCATACGGAAAACACTTAAGGAGAAATAATGATCTTAAAACATAGCGAGATGCTATTGATCAATTAGGATGAGTCAAATCTTGGCAACAACTAAAGGGAAAGAGAAAATATACAATGGCTTGGATATCATCAAATGATTTCAAGATTGAAAAAGGAAATACAACTAGGAGAAGGCTTTTTAAGAGATTTGACAGATTTTGAAAAGCTGATTACACAACAGAATGATCATCTACTGGGAAGACTTTACAAATTGCTATTACAGTATGATATTGAAAGCCCTCAAGATAAGAAATGCTTGACAATTTGGAAGCAGAATCTTGGAGCAGAACTGCCAGTGGGAAGCTCTTTGGAAGAAAGATATTAAATTTTCTGCTAGTCAAGCATTAAAAGAAAATTGAGGTTTTATCAATAGTAAGGTAAAGATAAGGGGAAAGTAAAGGTCTCCCCATGACATTAAAGTCCAGTCATGTCTGACTCTTGGGGGCTGTGTTCATTTCCATTTCCTAGCTTGTTCCCATTGTTTGTCCGCAGACCATTTCCATGGCCATGTGGCCAGCGTAACTAAACACCTAAGTGCACAGAACGCTATTACCTTCCCACCAAAGTTTTTATCTACTTGCATTTGTACGCTTTCGAGCAGCAAGGTTGGCAGGAGCTGGGACAGAGTACCAGAGCTCACCCTGTCTGCGGATTTGAACTGTTGACCTTTTGATCAACCAGCCCAGCGGCTCAATCCTCTGTGCCACTGCATCCCTTTATCAATGTTATAGTACTTTAAAAGATACTGAAAAAATGGACAAGAATTATAATAGAAAATACTGGAAATCTAACAGGTTGGATGGGACTTTTTATCATACGCAGTGGACTTGTGAAATAATGAAGAAAAATGGAAACTGATACATGCAGAAATGCAGAGCATCTTTAAAATTGAGTTTCCCATGAGTTCCACGGATATGCTTTTGAATATAGTGCCAGAGACCTTTTCAAAGAATATGTCAGTTATTTTAGTATATGACAACTGCAGCAAGAATCGCAATTGCTTCTAAATAGAAATCATTGGAGTCCCCAACAATGGAAGAATGGAGAAATAGACCAGCAGAATACTCTGTGATGGCAATGTTAATTAGCTATGTAAACAGAAGACCATTAGAAGAATTGAATGATAAATGCAAAGTTTATTATGCTCAGTATGGTTAATGAAATCTGAAGGGACTTTGGAAAAGAAAGAAAAGCAGTGGAGGATTTGAAGCAGTTGGAAGATTTGTTGTTGTATGGATTAATGATTTTCTTGTTGTTAAACTCGCGTGGAGCATTGAAAGACAGAAAGATGATAGATTTACGGGCTGAATGTATAGATTGTATTTGTATCGAATTCAACTTGGCAACTTTGCATTTCAGCTTGCTTTGCTCATTTTAGTTTGTTCTGCTTTATATTCTTTTGTGTACTTGTTTATGTTAAGAAAATTTAAAAATTAAAACAAAAACAAAAAAACCAAAACCAGCCGCTGTTAGGACACATGGCATCAACTGTTGCCATGGTACATTATGGCAGACTATGAATGTGCCTGCTCCAGCTCTGGTTCATGAGATCATTCTGACCCATTCCATTTTCCCTATATATGCTGGTAGGGGTGGGAAATCTTGAAAAAGAAGCATTTTACCCATCACAATCAATAGACGTTGAAAAGGCTCTACATACACTCAATGTTTGTCGCACAGTAGTCTTCTATTGTTCCCAAACCAAGTTGGTTCACAAAACAGTGTGAATGTTCATCACATATGTGGACCACTCAAAGGAGAACCGATTGGGCCCCAGCATCTTGCCTGCTGGATTGTACAGACAATTAAATTAGCATACCAGCTAGCGGAATTGGACTTGCCAGATCAGTCTAGGGCTCATTCCACCAGACTGTCATCAACATCGATGGCCTTCTGTGCTGGGCTACTGCTAGACGCATTATGTAGAACAATCCCCAACCTTTTTGGTACCAGGGTCTGGTTTCATGGAAGACAATTTTCTCACAGACCAGGGGTGGTGTGTTTTCGGGATGATTCAAGGCATTGTGTTTATTGTGCACTATATTTCAATTATTATTACATTGTACTATATACAGTGGGACCTCGGCTCACGAATGCCTCAGTTCACAACCAAATTGGGTAGCGGAGAAAAATTTTGTAAAAAATTTGACTCAGGTCACGAACTCCATATCGGGTGGTGACCACAATCACGGCCATCTCCCCCCCCCCACCACATCTAATTCCTTAAATCTATTTGTCGCCTCTATTGTATATTCATACGGAATATGATTCATGTCATGCCTGAGTGGTCTAGTTCTTTTCCCTACATTCTTCAAGTTAGGCCTAAATTTTGCAACAAGAAGCTCATGATCTGAGCCACAGTCAGCTCCTGGTCTTGTTTTTACTGACTGTATAGAGCTTTCCATCTTTGGCTTCAGAGCACATAGTCACTCTGATTTCTGTGTTAACCATCTGGTGATGTCCATGTGTAGAGTTGTCTCTTGGGTTGTTGGAAAAGAGTGTGTGCTATAACCAGTGTGTTCTCTTGACAGAATTCTTCCAGCCTGTGCCCTGCTTCATTTTGTACTCCAAGGCCAAACTCGCCTGTTATTCTGGTTATCTTTTGGCTTCCTACTTTAGCATTCCAATCCCCCATGATGATAAGGACATCATTTTTTGGTGTTAATTCTAGAAGGTGTAGTCAGTCAGTCAGTCAGTCAGTCAGTTTATTGCAGTTGGCCATAGGCCATTATAAATTAACAAGGTAAAACATTGAATTAAAACCACAAATCAAAAGTATTAGAAGGTGATGTAGGTCTTCATAGAACCCATCAACTTCAGCCTGTTCAGCATTGGTGGTTGGGGCATAGACTGTGATGTTGAATGGTTTGCTTTGGATTTGAACTGAGATCATTCTGTCATTTTGGAGATTATATCCCAGTACTGCTTTTCCTATTCTTTTATTGACTATGAAGGCTACTCCATTTCTTCTGAGGGATTCTTCCCGCAGTAGTATACCTGATGGTCATCTGAATTAAATTCACTCATTCCTGTCCATTTTAGTTTGCTGATTCCCAAGATGTCGATGTTCAGTCTTGTCATCTCATGTTTGACCACATCCAGCTTGCCTTGATTCATGGATCTTACATTCCAGGTTCCTATGGAGTATAGATCTTTACAGCATCCGACTTTCTTTTCATTACCAGATGCATTCATAACTGAGTGTCCTTTCAGCTTTGACCCATTTGCTTCATTCTTTCTGGTGCTACTAGTACTAGCCCTCTGCTCTTCCCCAGTAGCACATTGGACATCTTCTGGCATCATATCTCTTTGCCTTTTGGTACAGTCCATGGGGTTTTCATGGCAAGGGTACTGGAGTGAGTTGCCATTTCCTTCTCCAGTGGATCAGCTTTTCTCAAAGCTCTCTGCTATAATAAGTCCGTCTTGGGTGCCCCGGCACAGCATAGCTCATAGCTTCATTGTGCTACACAAGCTCCTTCGCCGTGCCAAGGCAGTGATCCATGAAGGGGATGCATTCAGTTACATCCATGATAAACATCTATTTATATTAGTAAAATAAAACAATGCACTTTTCTTCTCATTATTCAAAGAATCAGTTAAAGAAGAGGAAAAGGGTTTTCAAAACCATTTACTGAAACAGATTGTCTTGCAGTGTTTAATAATAATGTATTTGCAGTTGTTAATACATATAAACTGGAAAGCCAATATACTTGATATAACATAAGCCTCCCAATATTTCAAGATTATTTTAGCCACCAAAAAGGTACAAGTTAACCATAATATTTATATATCCCATAGATTCAGAACTATAGGAAATCTTTTATAACTTCCTGGTATACAAAATACACCAGTGATATAGAAATAAGTATATAAGTGAGGCATTGCATCGTAGACAGTTTATACTGTTCCATTCTTCTAAAATGTATGGATAACATTGGAACTTATAAACTCTTTCCCATTTGTTTGACTTGTCAAACTAGTACATATATTTCTTCAGCAGATTTGAATTTCTGAATTACTATGTTTTTGCTTTATGTGGTAATACAATCATTCAGAGTGCTTGTGCCCCAGGTCAATGCACTTTCCACATTATTAGGTTATTCTCCATGCACAGTGCTGGTCGCCCAGATCGGATTCAGGTAAACAGGTAAATAAGTCAAAATTCTAAACTCGGTATGAATTACTCAACTTTGATAATATAAATTACACTGATGATGATGGTGATGATGATGCTGATGATTGGAGGACTCTAGTTTTGCATAAAGTACTGAGATGGTCATTTTTATGCTTGCAGGAGGCACTAAGGCTTCAACAAGATGTGAGGAAGAAAAAACAAGAGATCTTAGAAAAACATATTGAAACACAAAAGGTAATATAAGCATTAAGTTGGGTAGACTACTGCTAAAAACAGTAATTAGGAAGGATATGTTGTAAGACCTTACTAGTTATGTCATAGGAAATACTGCAGCTGAGGTTCCAGTAAGACACAAATGTTCTTATGTATCTATAATGCTCAGTTGGAGCTAACAGAAGTGTGTAAAACTTGGATTGGACTTTTTTAATGCTTAAGCTACCTAGTTGAATCATTGCATGAAACAATATCTTACTTCCTCTGTTTGTTTTTTTCTTTGCTGCCCAGCAGAATTTTTCAAGTTTGTCCAGGGCTTGCTTGCCCCCCTCCTCTGTCTGTCTTTCTATCTCTAATTTCTTATATACCTTCCAATTATTATAAAATCTAAAGACACTTTACATAAAATGGGTTATTACATTCTGGCCCCAGCAACACCTTGGAGCCATCTCCGTCCTGTTGTGATTTATTTATTTAAACATTTATATCCTTTCCAATACCAAGGGTCTCATTTACTCAGTGGGCACTTACAGGAAAAAATCTGTGGTATCCACCAGGACTCCAGAGTTACAGCAGTTGAATCAGTGGAGATGTCCAGAGCACAGTCTGTTCCAGTTTTATTGAATGATTTTCAGTCAGTACAGTTCAAGGATGTGTACAAGATGTTTGGACAGGTTTGTGCAACCACCTCTATACTGGATCCTTGCTCCTGCTGGCTTATAAAAGCCAATAAGGAGGGGATAACCAGCTGGGCCAGGGAGGTCATTCATGCCACTTTGCAAGGCGGAGTGGTCCCATGATGTCTTAAAGAGGTGGTGGTGAGACCTCAAGAAGGGATAGAACCTTTTCAGTGGTTCCTCCCCCCCCCCCCCGATATCTTTGGATTAACCTCCCTGTTGTGGCCCACTTGGTTCCAAATTTGTCATCTTTTTGGCAGCAGGCCAAGACAGCCCTCTGGAGAAGCCGTTAAGGACCTTCCTGGTCATTCAGGGACCTGACACAATTAGCCAGGTGCCTTTTATACTTGCCTGGGTCTTTTTAAATTGTCTTTTATTGTTGTTATGCTTTTAGGCTAACTCTTGTTAGTTTGCAATTTTTAACTCGTTAGTGGCTTTATCTATAGTATTTTATTGTTTTTATACCTCTTTTAAACCACCCAGAGAGCTTTGGCTGTGGTTGGTATAGAATGTAAATGGTAATAATTGCGATAAACCTTTTGAAGTAGAGCAGTAGGCAGGTAAAAGAGGAATTAATTGCAGAAGTAGTGAGTGTGCAGGTTTTGCCACTGTGTCGTGGCTAAGGAGGCTAAAAAAATTAGAGTTGCATGTAAAACATGAGGCTGGATCCAGAGCTCTGTGTGTGGAGTTTTGTTCCTGGAACAGAATACATGAAATAGGTCTGGTTGACTTAAGAGTCATTCTAGCACAGTGTGTGATGTGGTGCTAGGGGGCTACAGGGGAAAAAAGACATTGGCAAATTCTTCTCTAATGGAAAAACTCAGTGTTTGCAATCAGTGGTTTTTAACTTCTTCAAAAGTGACTTGAAATTATGAGTTAGCAGTGAAATGGAAGATTTGGCAGATGACACCACATTATTTGGGGTTATTAAAACAAAAAGGGATAGCAAGTCGCTCCAAAAGGATCTGTACACTGGGATAATGGGCATCAAAATGGTGAATGTGGTTCAAACAAGCGTAGACTGATGTACATGGGAGAAAAAACATCCCAAATTCCCATATAAGCTGATAGATCCAGACATCTGAGGTTATGGTGGTCTTAACAATTAGAACATCAACCCAATATGCCGCTGCTGTGAAAAGCAGGATGGATAAAGATCAATGAGGTTTTTAAACAGAAAATGCAGATTTTTAAAATTTAAGTTGGATTTTTAAATAAATGCTTTTTGAGGAAAAATCTATCTAAAGGTGGTTTTCTATTTAAGTTGCATTATAGTCCAAAGGTTATTCATCATGAAATAAGGATTGGTTTTTAGTTATGTAGCATGAGGCTATATATTCATGCAATGTTTACGTTTTTTGGTAAATGAATTCCATTAATCCATTCACAATGTCATTATCTTCCTGAAGTTCCTGTAAGCTTATTGAACACTCTTTCTATCTAGCAGATATAATCACAGTTGCTTTGTTTTATAGTTCTCAAAACTGTGAATCTGTGTCTGCAGAAAACACATGCCCCTTCTTCACAGCAAATATGTTCCTTTGCAAATCTAAGTACACACCAGCAATCCCTTACCTCTTCAGTGTTAAGTTTCAAACAATTGAGTGGACAGAAGATGGTTGAGGATGGAGGGGAGGGGAGGGCATTGTTGAGGAGAGCGGGGCAAGCAGCAAAAGTGAAAGCAAAACCTTTTGAGCAGAATGCTCCACAAGTCTTTGGCTCTTTTTGTGTATTTATTTATTTATTTATTTATTAAAACATTTTTATGTCGCCCCATTCGCCGAAGCCTCGGGGCGGCTTACAACAAAAAATTAAAATAACATTTTAAAATATATACAATAAAATACAAATATATAATATAAAACATACACTATAAAACAAGCCGCCCTGGCCAAATAAAATTCAATAATATTAACATTTAAAATACTGCTTAAATAAAAAGGTCTTCGCCTGGCGCCGAAAAACAAATAACGACGGCGCCAGGCGGACCTCTCTGGGGAGCGCATTCCATAACTTAGGCGCCACCGCTGAGAAAGCCCTCCTCCGAGTAACCACCCTCCTAACTTCTTCCATGGAGGGCTCCCGGAGAAGGGCCTCTCCCGCCGATCTCAGGGGGCGGCTGGGCATATAAGGATGTAAGCGCTCCTTCAGGTAACCAGGACCCAAGCCGCTTAGGGCTTTATAGGTCATAACCAACACCTTGAATTGGGCCCGGACTTCAATGGGAAGCCAGTGAAGCTGACGGAGAACTGGAGTCATGTGAACATAACGTCCAGTCCCCGTCAGCAGCCTGGCAGCTCTATTTTGGACCAATTGAAGTATCCGGACCGTCTTCAAGGGTAGCCCCACGTAGAGCGCGTTACAGAAGTCCAAACGGGAAGTCACCAACGCATGTGTCACTGTCGCAAGGCAGTCATTCTCCAGATAGGGGCGCAGCTGATGAATTAGCCGAAGCTGGAGGAAAGCGCTCCTCGCCACTGCTGTTACCTGAGCTTCCAGTGAAAGCTCTGGGTCGAGGAGCACTCCCAAGCTGCGGACCTTGTCCCTAAGAGGGAGTGCAACCCCATTCAGGACAAGGTTCAATTCACCCTCTCCGAAGCCCGATCCACCAACCAACAGGACCTCCGTCTTGTCTGGATTGAGCTTCAGTTTATTGGCCCTCATCCAGCCCATTACCTCGGCCAGGCACCGGTTCAGCACAGCCACTGCCTCACCTGGATTGGTGGAAAACGAGAGGTAGAGCTGGGTATCATCAGCGTACTGATGGTTCCGCAGCCCACACCTCCTGATGACCTCTCCCAGCGGTTTCATGTATATGTTGAACAGCAAAGGGGACAAAATGGACCCCTGCGGTACTCCATGGCATAGCTGCCATGGCGCAGAGCCATAGTCCCCCAGCACCACCTTCTGGAACCGGCCATTGAGATAGGAGCGGAACCACTGCAAAGCAGTGCCTCCAACCCCCAATCCCGCAAGCCTATCCAGAAGGATACCATGGTCGATGGTATCGAAAGCCGCTGAGAGGTCCAGCAGAACCAACAGGGACGCACTCCCCCTGTCCTTCTCCCTGCACAGGTCATCATACAGGGCGACCAAGGCAGATTCAGTACCGTACCCGGGTCTGAAGCCGGACTGCAATGGGTCCAGATAATCAGTTTCATCCAAGAGTGCTTGGGGTTGTCCCGCCACCACTCGTTCTAACACCTTGCCCAGAAACGGGATGTTGGCCACTGGTCTATAATTAGTGGCCATCTCTGGATCCAGTGACGCCTTCTTCAGGACCGGTCGGACTACCGCCTCCTTCAAAGGGGCAGGCACCCGACCCTCCCTCAGAGAAGCGTTAACCACTTCCAAGATCCAGGTTCCAATCCCGTGCTTGGAATCATTTATTAACCAAGACGGGCAAGGGTCCAAAAGGCAAGTGGTTGGACGTACTCGCCCAAGCACCTTGTCCACATCATCGGGCCACAATAACTGAAATTCATCCAATAAATCTGGACCAGACGGCAGCGTTGGTGTCTCCTTTGAAACCTCTGAATCAATAGTGGTGTCCAGCTCGTGACGAATCTGAGCGATTTTCTCCCTGAAATGCCTGGCAAAGTTGTCACAGCGGGCCTTTGAGGGTGGAATCAGGTCTTCCTTTGGACCTGGACGGACCAGGCCTTGCACCACTCGAAAGAGCTCCGCCGGACGGCATTGTGAGGAGGCAATGGAAGCGGAAAAGAATCTCTTTTTTGCCGCCCTCACCGCCACAGCATAGGCCCGATAGTGGGCTCTTAAGTGTGTTCGGTCAGATTCATCTCGTGATTTCCTCCACCTACGCTCTAGTCGTCTCCCAACCTGCTTCATCGCCCTCAATTCAGGAGTATACCAAGGGGAAGAGCGGGCTCTGCCCGGTGGGAGAGGACGCTTAGGAGCGATCGTGTCTACAGCCCTGGTCATCTCCCCATTCCACAGTTCGACCAGAGCCTCGACAGGAGCACCCATCTTGTCAGCCGGAAACTCCCCCAGGGCCTTCAGGAATCCTTCTGGATCCATCCGGCTCCGGGGGCGGACCCACATAATCGGGTCCGCACCCTTACAGAGGGAGAAGTCGCTCTCGAGCATAAACCTCACCAGGAAGTGATCTGACCATGACAGGGGAGTCAAGCCTGAAGTTTGTCATATTATTCTTTACCTGGAGGAGAAAACCTATACTGGCAGCGGGCTGTAAAAGAGACACAGTTTGGAAATATTTTAATGAAATTCCTCTTCCTATGGGTAAGGCAAGCAAACATACAAATTATGTAGAAAACCATGATTTAAATCTAATCTTATTGACTAGTGATTTAAACAGTGATTTAA